AGAATCTTCATCTAAAGGTTCTCAGAAGAAGTCTAGCAAGAAGAAGTCCAAGGCAAAGCTCCTCCAGAAGCTCCTTGAACAACTTGACTCAGATAGTGAATCATCTTCTCAAAGTTCCTCCTCAGAACTCCCAGCAGGATATGCTCAGGATCCTTTTGAAGGAATAGAAGACTTTGATGTTGATGACCTCACACCTGACCTTGCACTCCCGTGAATTATTATTTACATAAAGTGGCTTCAATCACTACTTTCTTCAGTAAAGAAAGAAAAGCTGTCCACTCTGTGTAAAAATAATATCACATGTCTGCATAGGATCCCCTTTCCCTAAAAGCAGGATTCTCACAGACAAAGGCAGGACCCACAGATCTGCTTTTCCACCGAAAGATGGAATCTCAGGACAAATAAGGACCCACTAGTCCTTTTAACATGTCCTAGTTACCCGGGTAAAAGAATCTTACTCCACTTTCCAGCCGAAAGCAAGAAAGTGAATTACTTTACCCTGAGTAAAAGAGAAAGGCAGAATTATTACCACGGAGGAATTCGGAGTCCCTTACTTCTATATAAGGCAGCTCCCTCTTCTCTACAAACCAAGCTTCATAAGCTAACATTACAAACCCTCTAGTTTTGTAAACCCACCTATCACTTGTAAAGCCTTCTTCATGATGCAAAAAAAGAGCTTCACTCCTATTACCGCTTATCTCCACTAGACCATTAGTTCTAGTGTTGTAAGTGTTTATTTTCTTTAATTGAAATATTTTGTATATGTTCCATATCTGTGCATATTCTCTCTATCTTCCATATATAGATATATATATATATTGTGAGGGGACAAGAGGTTGATAATAGGGATGTTATACCTACAATCCTTATCTTTCAAGAATTTTCAATTGTCACATTAATGTAGAAGTTTGTGCTGGTGTGAGATGCGTAAAATATATTCATAAGTATATCTACCAAGATCATGATCGCACAACATGGTGTTAAGAGGAATAAATGAGATCCAACAATATCTTGACACAAGGTATATTGGACTACCAGAAGCTGTTTGGTGATGATTTGGTAATCTGATGCATGAAGAGATTTCAGTGGTTGTAGGATTGGCACTTCATTTGTCTGGTATGCACCGTATTGTTTTTAATCCAACACAACCATTTGATATGATCCTTTCTAATGCGTGACAAAGGGACACAACTTTGACTGGTGTTTTTAAGTGTTGTGATTCCAATGAATTTGCACGCGCATTAAACTATCAAGAATTTTTCCAAAAATTTGTTTGGAATAAGACAACGAAGATATGGACTCCAAGACAAAGGGGATATACAATTGGTAGAATATACTTTGTTAGCCCTAAGTTAGGTGAACGATTTTATCTACGTCTTATACTCACTATTGTTAAAGGACTAATATCATTTGATTCCTTATGCACGATCAACAATATTGAGTACGAGATGTTTAAATTAGCATGTGTTGCGAGATGACTTTTAGAAGATGATGAAGAATGAATACAATGCTTTGAAGAGGTTTCAATTATGAATAACCAATGCGCCTTTAGTTCAATGGTACTTCTTATCTTGTAAAAACTTTACCTTTTTGAGATGAAGGGTTCAAGTCCTCCTCCCTCCTTTCCCTTCCCCCTCAAAAAAAAAAATAATTATGAATACGATTTACCAATTGAGAAGATTGTTTAGCATAATTCTTATAGAATGCTCTCCACTTCATCCACTTGCATTATNCAAAAAAAAAATAATTATGAATACGATTTACCAATTGAGGAGATTGTTTAGCATAATTCTTATAGAATGCTCTCCACTTCATCCACTTGCATTATAGAATCAATTTTCAATGCAAATATGTGATGACCTTGCACACAAGAATAGTACGATCTTTGGCATTGTGAGTCCAACTCAATATCAGATACAAGACTATTGGTTATATCTGATGAATCAACTTCTCCATGAGTCAAGCAAGGGTTTAATTGATTTTTTGCTCATGCCGCAATCAATTGGGAACTGGAATGTAATTGTTGGTAATAGATTGTTATTTGAACATCAATAACTTCAGAACGAAACACAACAAAAAATTTCAGAAATTAATATTGATTGCCTTAATGATGCACAAGCACAACACAATTCTTATATTGCAATCACTTCATCTGTATTTGACAATAAGGAAACTACATTCTTCTTGAATAGGAGTGCCGGAACAAAAAAGACATTTCTATACAATACAATGGTGTAACCTTAGACATGTTGTTGTTGTCGTGACTTCATCCGATATTACATCATTATTATTGGTTGGAAGACGTACCACACATTCAACATTTTGAATTCCTTTAGAAGTGCTTGAGAATTCGATTTGTGGATTTACCAAGCAATCAATGCACACAGAGTTGTTCAGAAAAATAATACTCATACTATGAGATAAAGGTCCTATGCAACATAGATTTTGTGTTGATGTGGTAGATCGTACACTCTAGGATATTTGTGACAACAAAAATTCATTTGAGAGTATCACTATTGTTCTTGTTGCATACTTTCAGCAAATCTTGTCAGTTATACCAAAGGGAGTTTGCCAGCAATTTGGGTGCTTTATTGCGATGGTCTATATTATGGAGGGATATAAATATTTTGACCTTAGATTTAAACATACGTTTAAATAGAACAAATGTTGGAAATGCTGATTTTGCAAATTTCTTAATGGAGNTTAGATTTAAACATACGTTTAAATAGAACAAATGTTGGAAATGCTGATTTTGCAAATTTCTTAATGGAGGTAGCATTTTGTTGATCTCCAATTTTGTGATATATGTTGAATATATTGATTTTGATTAAACAGTAATTCTATTTTTTTATTTTTAGATTGTCACCAACACAAGAGAACTTATAGAACTTCCATCAACAATACGTAAATGTCATAATCTCCACGAATTGATTTATAGTGTTTTTCCACGATTAGAATTGTTGGTACAATAACCTCAAAATTTTCTAACTGAACACGTGATACTTTCTACTCAAAATGATAATGTCAGTACTATAAATGCCGCAATATTAAAAATTTCTTCCAAAGAGACAGTTACATATTTAGCTACAAAAAAAATGTTGGACGNACTGAACACGTGATACTTTCTACTCAAAATGATAATGTCAGTACTATAAATGCCGCAATATTAAAAATTTCTTCCAAAGAGACAGTTACATATTTAGCTACAAAAAAAATGTTGGACGCTGATGAAATTGATCGAACCATCACAAATCAATTTTTTAATGTTAAATAGAGGGTAAGAGTTTCTGTCAATGAAACAGTCATTTTACCTAATTCGACTAATTTAAAACTGATACAATACAGCAAAAACTAGGACAAATATTAAACTTAAAGATTGATTTTGGCCAATACATACTTGATTAGGTGCTCCGTTTACAACAAACAAAACACAGTTTTTTTTCTATGATCATGCACAAAGTCAGGTGTTTCATGTATTTTCGAACTGTCTTTCACATCGTAATCTTTAAAATGCTTTTTCAAAACTCTTCTTGCACCATAAACTCCAAAACCTAGAAATATTTGACAATAATGACAGCTTCTATTTGAACAAAATAGATAAAGACTTACCAAAACTTCAAAATAACATTAAATATCTTGAAAACCTAATCACTTTAGGAGAACTTGCCATGAAGCTAGCTAGATAATACTAACTTCCACTGGAAGCACTACAATCCAAATTCATCTTCAATTTCAAGAAGATTAATGGCATGATGCATAAATTAGAAAAGCACTCAAGAAAAGCGAGGAGGCTATGAGAAAACCTTCTGGTGTTAAAAGCTTCCAATATCTAGTGTAATTTAGCAAAAATTACAAGGCCAAGCCCTCTAGCATTTGGTCAGTCATTCCAACAAACATTTGGTGTCCAAAGTGTGTGTGGGTTTGTTTGTGATGTGTTGGGTGTGCTGGGTTTATATCCAAAGTGAAACAAAATCCAATAGGTTAATGGCAATGAGCATAACCACCACCTTGAAGTAGCTTAAAGTGCAACAAAATCCAAACTCAAAAGAAATAGAGACATAAATCATCAAACGAAAGTACCAAAAAAATTCTGTGATTGCGTGTGTATGTGACTGTGATTGCGTGCTCTGGCTGGGTGGGGGTGTATTTGTGTTTGTGTTTGTTCAACTGTGTGTGTGACTGTGTGTGCGTGCACAGAGAGGGAGGTGAGAGAGGGAGAGGGAGAAGAGCTTACCTGGTTGGGTGAGGTGGCCAGTGAAGGGTGAGAGGGAAAAAGAGATAGATAGAGAGACAAAGAAGAGAGACGTTGGTGGTGGTGGTATTGCTGCTGAAGTAACCCTGGTGGTGGTGGTGTCGTTGGTTGTAACAAACACACACAAAGAAAAAAAAAAGAAACAACAATGAAGGAGAGGCATGGCTCGAGAGAAGTCGGGGGAGGCTGCATCTCTGACAGATGGAGTGATTGAGGGTGGTCTATTTTGAAAAATAATGAGTAAAAAGAGATGAATTTGGGAGAAAATGAAAGAGTATTAATAGCCGTTGGATGAATGAATTGATTTGAGGCCGTTGGATGTTGAAGCTACCCTATTTTATATTATAGATGTCGAACCAATGTTCAAATTTCCCAACAGATTCAAATAATAGATTGCTACGATGGACGGGTTTCATATTTTCATTATCTCCTAACATTTATATCCCATCAACCATCCCTCGTGTTGCTCATCCCCAATCCATGTCTCTAGCCTATTTTGTAAGGTGGGAAGAAGAGAGTCCTCATGTACCTGATGAGATTCGATCCCAAATCATGCCCAGGCATTGAGTTTTTTTTATTAAAAAAAACATTGACAACATAACATCATTATAAAATGGTTGATGAACATTTTAGTCGTGAATTTTTGCCACGCACACCAATTAAATTGGTTAACCATGATTTAAATTGTTGAAAAAATAGTGGACCCCGGAATCCTTCCCCGCACCGAGAGGAACATCTGCCAGAACTTTCTCTTGGCCCTTCGGACAGTAAATTCCGGTGCGGTCATCAGGAATCCACCAACTGCCACCGTGATCTCCAGCTGCGGTTTTGGTCTTCACTTCCTCTCCGTTCACTTTGACAGTGTCACTGATCATGTCCGTGGAATTGCTTTTTCTGTGGTAGGCTTTTCTCAGCATTGGCCTGTTTATTAACAAAAAAAAAAAGCTGACCATGAATGATTAAGATTAATAGTAAAACTAATGCTGGAAATAGAATTTGAGTGTGATTTGTGAGCTAATCTGTCTTTTAAATGTTAAAATGGCAAAGTAACAACATAACAAGTACATGACAAGTAGCAAATTAAAAATGCGTTCCTTGCTCCATCTAATTTACTAAAGAGTTACTTAAATGAAATTAAGTTTTTAGTCCTGATCATTTTTCTGTCTATGGGCATTTGTACACGTGTGCATAAGTAGAAAAGAGTGAGATACGATGAAAGATAGATATAAGAATTTAAAAAGACCATCAAAGATGACAAGTTTTGGATGTTTGGTTAAAGAGTAATATAGATATTTTACAATGAAGACATTACACCACTCCTCTTGTTTAATTAATAGTATAATGATTGACACTAGAGAAATAGACCTATGAATTTAGTCGAGGAGGTCGATAATATTTGTCTAATATTACAGTTAAAAATTTGAATTGTACATTTATAAAAGCACAACGACGGATTTAAATTAATTCAACTTTTATTCATTGTCATCTAACAGTAAAAAATTCATACCTAAAATATCATTTTCTCTACATGGGCCCCTCGTGTTAGACAATTGAATCAACATAGTCCTCAATATCAAATAACTCCACACCTAATTCTCTTCTCTCTCTTATTCTCAGTGTCCATTTAAATTTTATTAAGTTGCCTAATTAAAGAAAATAAAACAAAAAAATAAATTTATGTTTAAAGTATAAATGTTACACAGTCAATACTTAATTTTTTATATTGCAAAGTATCTTCAGACACAGTGTTATTGCTAGTACATTAAAATCACTCAATACTTTCAAAAATGCAAAGAAAATTTTTAAGTGCCGCTTCGTAAAAAAACTTGTCCATGGAGGGCATGTTTGGAATCATGGATTGACAAGGATTGGATTGGAGATATTAATCCACATGCACCGGATAAGGCGGATAGACTATAAGATAATATTGATCTCATCTCATGCTTGGTTGATGGGTATGTTTGGCAAGTGGGACCCTATTGAATTGAAAGAATTGACCAGAAAATTATCTTCTCGATTCCGAATTGATTTGTTAGTTTGAATTTTCTGCTCTTTTAGCAGTGCAATGCAACCTTTAGTGATAAACTAGCAACGTGATGTTCTAAAACTAGTTTTTTTTTTTTTTTTTATAATTTTATTTAGAATAAGACGGTTATTTTACCTCGACGTCGAACCCAATTTGTCAGGCTTTACTATCTCAATTATTAGGCCATAAAACCTTTAAATTAACAAAGAAAGTGCGGGACCATCAGAATAATTAAAGGTGTTCAAATATAACACAACACAAAATTAGAGGGTTTAAATCTTCCTTAAACTATATGTTTAGTAATCTTGCCGACGAGTCAAGTATAAAGTGAAATTAATAAAAAAAAATATGATATGACTCGTTTATATACCGGTTGTACATGATACGAATCCGATATGACATGATTCGTTAGACACAAATGAATAAATAAATCAAGTATAAGTGGAATATTTTTTAACATGAACTCGCCTCATTCGACACGATTGATAAGCTTAGAAATAATCTAAATAATCCTTCTCATCTTTTCCACCTAAACTTACCATCCAAACATGACCTATGGATGTATTAGAATTTCAAGAAATGGTCTCATTTCTCTTATAAGATCATTCCAGGCAGATGCAAAAGGCAACTGAGTTGTAAGGGCTCCTTAAATTAAAACTTTGGAATGTGTCATTCTAAGACAGTTACAATCAAATCATCTAAAAGGTTAAGCATCCGTTTGATATCATTTTTTCCAAGTATTAAATATTTTTATAATTTAACATGACCCTTTATGCAATGTAGTCGTGGACCAAGTACATACAAATATATTATAATTATTAGGATAGTGATTAGATTCGAAATCAATTCATTTACTAAGGATATCTACTGAATGGGATATCTAATGAATGGATAAATAGATGTATGTGCATAGTGATATAAAATTCTTTTGGTGTTTATGCTTAAGAATAATCTAATTTCTGTGAGATGAGAAACTTACTTGAAACAAAAGGAGCTCATGGTCTGTGATCCTCTACCAACTGCAGCTGCCATCTCTCTCTCTCTCTTAAGAAGATGTCCTGTGCGTTGGATAGTGCACACCTATCTCTCTTTTTATACAACCAAAGGGCTCAACCCATGGTACTTAAAAAAATATTTTATTCTGTTTCGTCCAATGAGAACGCGACACGAGTACATTTTTTTTTTAATTTATAATTTTGGATTGCCATGTCCTACAACCAATTGTTGGCTAAGGACAATTTAGTTTCCCAAGAAAAGGTATGTACCGTTTGGGCTTATGTCAATTGCTGTTTGGATGTTAGCTACTGTACTTTACAACCGTCTGCAGTTTCAAGCATAAGGGGAGATGCTTGTTTAAGCATGAAAGCAATCAAGCACATGCATGGACTTCATTCAGATATGGAATCAAAATTTTACCTTGGGCCAACAATAACAACATAAACAAAAATTTAATTTAATAGGTTTATTTAACGGTTATTGTTAATGATAAATTTTTATTTAAAAAAAATTTATTTAAATTTAATTTTTATACAATGACATTGAAAAAATTATTTTTTAGTACAAAACTCAAAAGTGGTTTATGCCATCATAAAAATTCATATGCGATAATCTCCACTTTTTTTTTCTTATTTATAATGTAACCTTATGTCTATAAATAAATCAAAGTTGCAAACAATAGTTTTATATGATACCATAATAAAAATAAATTATAAGTCAACCAACTGCTTTTTATACAAACCATATTTGTATTCCTATTTTTTTATTAAAAAAAAAAGTCACTTGTTTTTTTTCTACATCATCAAAATAATTTAACAAGTGTCTTCGTAAGAACAAGTGACATTCATCCATGAGATTATATCCTAAATGGTTACTAAATATTAAGTCATTGATCATTTTGAATACACTAGCTGAGATTCTTACACATTATGTGTTTTAAAAAGTTACATGTTAACAATAAAACTTTTTCAAAATATAGAAGGAATAATGGGAAATTTTAAAATTTGAGGGTTATTCATAGTACCACCTCTATTCATGGCTATTAACTCTACCAAATTTCTTTAGTTTTTCTATTACTTTTTATCTAGTATCTTCACTTATCTCACTAATATTAATAGGCATATTAAACAAATTAGGAGGAGATTAAGGAGTTGGAGAGGATCTGGGCTTGTAAATAGGGTTTGAGGGGATTTGTACGTTCAGGGGCTACTCAAGGTAATTTGAGGCCTAAAGTGATAACATCGAATGAGATCTTTTTTATTTTTATTATTAAAATTTTTTATTTAAAATTAATTTATTTAAAATTAATTTATTTTTAATCTTTTATGTGTGTGTGAGAGAGAGAGAGAGAGAGTATTACACTTTGTAGAGAATGAGGAGGGACAATGTTATCGAGAAAGATATTTTAATTTTTATTTTTATTTTTTACCAAAAAAAAAAAGGTCTTAATTTTAGCTATTATTTTTATTTTTTACCAGAGTAGAGAAAGAGAGAGAGAGAGAAAGAGTGGATGTGTGGCATAAATATAAATTGACTTTTAAGTAGATATTTTTTGTACTTTTTCTTTAAATTTTTGATTTTTGGATTTCTAATGTTATGGGTTTGTCATTAAATTCAACGACAAGATAGTTGCTAGTAAGTATGATTTAAATGAGTACGGTTTCTCTCCTTAGGTTTCTATAGGAGACTTTCCCTCTTCCTTTAGTCAAAGTCACTTTTTCCCCCCGTTATTGAATTGTGTTTCCGTGTAGGGTTTCCTCTTTGATTGGTTTTTTGATTTCTTCATAGATGAAAATTTCCACAGTCAAGTTCCTTCTTAGACAATTTTAGTTGTATTTCTCCTCATAGTTTCTCTTTGCCCTTTGTCTGGCGTCTTCGTCTCCTTCATCATAAATCTTTTGTTCAACATTGTTTTTAGATTTGAGTTCGTTTTTCCTTTGATTCTATTGTGTTTCAGTCACTAGTTTTCTTTGCGAGATTTTTAGCTACGTATTTCTATTTTGGTTTTTTGTGTGGAAAGTTTTTTTCTCCAACAGGCCCTCTGTTTTACAATGGACGAAGGTGTGATCAATAAATTTCTTTCTATTACGTTAACAGAAGAAGAAGATGTTATTCTAGATTTTGGTAATGAGGATATTGTGGAGGGTGTAGTGGAATGTGAGAAGAGTGTAATTGTCAAGGTTTTGGCTGATAAGGCCGTGAACTCGATGGCTTTGAGGAATACTATGGCTTATGTGCGGGACAACAAAGAGTTGAGGATTTTGAAGATTGCATCAAACATTTTCCATTTCTTTTTTAAGGAGGAGAGGATTCTGGGGAAAGTTTTGGAACAAGGTCCGTGGTGTTTTGATAATAATCTATTGATAATTCAGAAATGGTCCAGAGGTTCTACTACATCATCAATTCCATTCTAACCTGCATCTTTTTGGATTCAACTTCTTAATCTTCCAAGAGAGTACTATACCAAAGAGTTGGATCATTAAGATCGCAGGGAGTTTCACTGACTAGGATGTGATCATTCCATTACCAACGTCTTCCTTATATGTGTTTCTATTGTAGTAGATTAGGACATATAGAGAAAAATTGTTCTTGGTTAAAGACTGATATAGAACAGCATGCTAAGGGAGAAAGTCAGTATGGCCCATGGTTTAACGCTGTCATCTTGAAATCTAAATTGGTGCTCCCGCACCGGAAAGTTTTGTTTCTAGAAGAGATTTGGCCAGTTCGGGAGGAGGCAGATGGGGAGATAATCTATGGGCGTGATTTTATGTGTGATACCAATCTCAATAAATGTGATGTTGATGAGGAGCAATATTAGGGGAATTTGGCCATACCAACTGCTAATTTTAAGGGAGTGGATCCAGTCTAGGGTAAGAATCTTTCTGATCACAATTGGCTTGAAGGACGGCGGGAACGTTGCAGAAAAGGGAATGGAGAGAATTCGGATCCAAATACTGATGCAGGATCGTTAGTTGGCCCATTCAATGAGGTTTTTGGCCCTCTTAATACTGTCAGTCTGTTTTAATTTTAGGCCCAAAAATTGGTAGGAAGGTGTAAAATTCGGGAAAATTTAAAAAAAATTATTAGAAAGAACAAAATGGTAATTAGTCATAGGGGTGCAACTTGGGTTGGGCAACCCGATCCCAATTCGAAAAAATTAGGATTTGGGCAATAGTTTTTAATACTTAGGTTGAGCTTGGATCAAAAAACTCCAACCCGAATTCAATTTGAGTTGGACTCAAGTTAAGGCCTCGTGAACCTGAGTTCAACCCGAACCCGACAAATTTTAAAAAAAAATTATATATATATATATATATATAAAGTATTAGCACTGATTTTTCATTTTTGTTCTATCGTTCTCTTTGCCTCTCTCGTTAAAAACTTGGTTGAAATTATTAGTTGTTAATTTATGTGAATATATGTATTAGATTTAGAACAACAAACTTATTTTAGACTCTATCTGAATTGAACCCGTAAATTAACCCGAAATCATCAACCCAAATTCAACCCGAGCCCGCCTGAATTAAACTCGGGCGGTGCTCAGGTTGAGTTCCCCAACCCGAGGTAGGGTTAGGATTAGGGTTAGGGTTGAAGATTATATACCTAGGGTTGATTGTCCAACCCGGCCAACCCGCCCGAGTTGCACCCCTAATTAGTCATTATGGTACGGGTTAAAAACTTGAATTTTTTTAGAATTCGGATGGCAAAATAGATCTCACCGTTGGATTGATTTCACGGAATCTAATTGCTTAGTCAATTTTTGTTGAATTCTGAGACAATCAAATTTTTTGCGTTTTACAATACCATGGGACGTCTCGCGATTAAAATAAACGCAATCGGGATTTGATTGCGAAACATGAAAAATAATTTAAAATTACTTCAAATAAATTTATTGAACACAACACGAGATAAAATTTAATTGATTTGGGACCACATCGGACCAGAAAAGTCGGCACGTGTGGCTTAATGAGAGCCAAGCATTTGGATAGTATAAAAAGGGGGGAAATCAGATTTTTCTCCATTCTTGTTGCTGGGTTTTCTGGATAAAGAGAGAGAGAAAACTCAAGAAATCCCCCACTTCTCCTTGCAATCTACGGTTATTCATTCGTCGAATCGCTTCGAGCCAAGAATAAGATTTGTTCTACACAATAAGAGCTACGTCTACGCACAAAAAATCACGGATTTTACTGAAATCTCAAGAATGTAATTTTTAGAAATCATGGTTTAAAGCTTGATTTGAGTTTCTTGAAGTTTCCTCTATGTGTATTACACTTCAAGAAATAGGATTTTTTTTCTTAAATAGGTTAATTTTCAACTTAGGTTGAAATATGAAATGAGTAGGGTGTTAAAGATGTAATCTCATGTATAACACATACCTATTGTAGTTGAAATGTAGAAAATGGGTATAAGAATGGTTAAAATCAATTCTTGCATGAATTAGGTTTTGTTGAAATTGATTATTGGAATTTCAAGATGAATGTGTTGATTTGGATATGCTATGTGTTTATATGATTTTGTGCTTTTTGGGTGTTTGATAAAATGTCTTGAATGATTTAAACATTTTATTTGAATAAACTTGATATGACATGCTTTGATGATATTGTAAATTGTAATTATATGCTTATGATATAATTGAAAATAGAGAATGTTAGTAGAGATGAAGTATTGTTCATAATGTGCTCATGACATATTTAACATGATATGAAAATTACAATTGTACATTACATTGCACATACATGAAAAGCATCACATTTGTGGGCATGTGGCATGAGTATGGGTGTGTGCATGATTTTGATCAAATACCAGTCTTGGTAAATGATGCGTGGGCTCGAAAAAGCTGGACCAAAGTTTGACTGAGGGTTGCATTGTAAATAGGGTCGGGATTAGCAAGAAAGGATAAATTATCTCTTGGGTGCAAGACCCGATGATTTAGATACGCACTCCGTTGGTATTGAGTTCATAAAGTGTGTCGGCGTACGCAGGGCTGTTAGTGAAAGTCCGTAGATGCCATGTCGGTTGAGTGTCCGTTGGTGGAAGTCTATACATACCC